AACCGGTCCCTGGGTCCCCAACTTCATAAGCCCACACTGATCAGTATGGTGCAGTATTGGTGCCATAACCCCCATAACCCGATAAGCCTATGTACATGTGCTTTCCTGTTAAGTCTGTATGAAGTCCTCATTGGAAAATAACAAACTGAATTGCAAATTGTGGGGAAATGTTACTTCTGTGAGTCAGCTTGGCCCAGGAACATCAAAGTCGTCCATTGTTTTGTTTCCCTTGTATCATGACGACCAGATGACACTGTCCTCCTGTAAACTCCGAAAACAGGAAGCGTAGGTTGGATTAAAAACACGAGAATGCCTCCATTAAGGGAACATTAAGCGGACGTGAGCCCAACCAAGACAATCATCGCTGGCCAGTCGAATTCATCGTTCTGTGTGTTATGGTCTGCCCTTATTATGATTGCAATGAAGGTTTGGGTTTGCAGAAAAATCCCAGGAGTGTAGGAGAATTCATTTATGAATTAGTGACATCACGCATGCCTTGGAAAAGACTCCATTGTGTCTGGAGTGAAATGGTTGAGATAAAACAATATACCAGCATGCTACCAAAGTCTTTTAAGTTCATGTGCATTCAAGTTTACGTATAGCACTTTCCTGTCAGATTTATTTTTGGTTTGTACCGCATGTTGAGCAGCATGTCTGACGTTCCACTCCACATGCTGAGAGCTCAGTCAGGAACTGTAGGTATCAACATGTCGAAAAACTATACAGCACAATCTGAAAACCTGCGCAGGAGACATACATTACTCATTGAAAACTGCTTACAAAGGTTGGGGGAGGTGAGGCGATTCTAATTCAAGCTGGAAATTAATATTTAGTTGGTGGTCCTTGTGCCAACAGATGGGCTTTTGAAGACCCAGTGAAAACCTTTCAGTCATATTGACCATATCTCCCACAAATGATGTAATCCTTTGAGTCCTACTATCTCCTTGTTTGAAGGCACCATTATAATGTATAGTAGATGTGAAGGAATTAAGTTAAAAGTCTTAAACTGTCAAACCAAAGGCCAAAATGTAACACCTTGAATTACGAAGTTGAGCTTATTAAGGCAATGAATGCTGTCTGAATTTTTGTAAATCTCTGCGGTGTGTCTTGTGAATTGTTACAGTGTGTGAACTAAAATCTTGCCATTTCACTGGCATTTCCCATGTAAGAAATACTTAAATGTATCATTTCAATCGTTGCATGCCAAATATTTCTATCATACAAAAGAATAACCTCTAAAATTTCACTGGATGCCTTTTTCGTATCAGTGGCAAAAAACACCACCATTTTGTCGCACGATTCAAAATATGTCAAAGCAACATTGACGGAACATCATAAAGGAATCTGAGGAACACGACTTAAATTTGGAATCTCCGGACCTGGTGAAGACCGAGCCTTCATTGAAACAATCTACATGGGATGGGGAAAATAAACAACTAAATAAATATATACATTTCACCATGACTTTTGACAAATTTTTGCATACATTTTGTAAATTCAGATGAGGGTACTGTTATTGAACATCCCAAACTTTAAGTGCAAAAACGTTAAAATTGTTTGAGTATGCCATGGATGGCATTCTATGCTGTTTTTACATCAATATTGGCTGGCAGACTTTTGTTATTAAAGTGCAATGTTTTTTTTTCATCCTGCAGTTTTTTTCCAGGTGTCCACTGCAATGCAGGCCTTTGTCTCAATGAGTTAGTGGCTAAAGCATATATTTAATAGAAATTTTATATATAAAATATCTATATAGCTTTGTCCTTTGCACTCAAGGGTTGCTGATGCCGATGGATAAGAGCTTTTCAACAAAGTTGATTCAGTCTAAATGAGAGCTTATTGCTGCGTTTGCAAAGAAAAAGGCGGTCAGGCATGGTGCCCGCTAACCGCATGTGTCCCCGTGGCCCTTGGAGAAAATATATTAGCGACGCGTCCTTGATACAAGACAGTTTTGGCTTTGTAGATAATTGGCTCAAATAATATCTAAAGACTTGCATGTTTTAGATGGGGCAAGGGTGGGAATTTCAGTGTTTCGCTGTTGAAATAACGACTTCTTGTCGATAATATTTTATTTCTTTGTCATTTCAAGGCTGTGTAAAATGCTGCACATGCACATACATCGAACAATGACTTGAATTCTGTGAACTGCATCATATTGATATTTATCATTATAAAAAAAGCATCTGTAAAATCATAGATGTTTGAAAAAACGAATATGAGTCATGCGTAATGCCAATAACAAATACCCCCATGTAGCCTTAACAGACTGTTGGGGCAAGTGCTGTTAGCGAGCACCTATGAAGGCCTGGCACAGCACACGAGGGGCTGAGTGTCCAGCACCACGCGATGTTTACACACTGCACTAGGTACTGATTTGAGGTTGAGTCGACCAAGGGGAGGCCCAAGACCGGTCCAGATAATTGTAATTGGTATTGCCCGTGAGTGGGAATCGAACTCGGGTCACTGGGTTCATAGCGCGGCGTGCTCACCACTGCACTACTGCTCCCCACTGCCAGTAATGGATTGTAATACAACCATGCCCAAATAAAAAATGTATTTTATTTATTGAAAGCATTTTATCCTAATATGGTTCAGGAACATGGAACAGAACTGTAGAATGTACAAAAGGCTCGCCATTACACTGAGAGACAGAAATAGTAACATGGATCAGAGAATGCAGTGCAATATATGTCGGTTAAAGACATAATTCAAACGGTTAAGATAAGTTGGTGGGCTTGGGCAGGATACGATACGAGAAGGACGATGGCTGATTGTCCAGAAAAATAACGGAGTGGAAGCCAAGGAACGGAGCCTGTCCAAGAGCACGTCCACCTCGTGTAATAGAGCCATAAGATCGACTTGATGTAGGTGTTTGGTGGATGATTACATCACAGGATAATAAGAGGCGGCAGTGACTTGAGGATGCCTCCTTTCAGCAGCGGATGTATTGTGGCTGATGTTGATGAGTTAATTATACAATTGATACGGACATACATTTCAGCATTCGCACCTCTGCCAATCTAAAAGGCTGTAAAGTTTCAAACTTGAGCTATGTCTTCTGCTGTGCAACATTTACTTACTGCACACTACATCTGTTTTAATTCACGCTGATGCTGAGAGACTGCGGTGACATCGTTTGAGTGTAGATAGTCACTGTGTGCTTGTGTCAGAACACAAATGAAACATTTAAAACAATTTCCATCAGTGGTATCTTTTTGTTTGTTTTGCTATCATGTCCTTTGCTCGATATATTGTGCTGAATTATTTCTGGACAGTCTCTCACCAAGTTGTAAATAAAGGCCTGGTTTAATTCTCTGACGCTTTTCATGAATTATTTTTCAAAAATCACTTCTCACTCTATGGAATCCCCGTTGTGTGATGGTGTCGTATTTTTATTCGCTAAACTAATTAGAAGAGTCAAGAGAGGAATTTTTATATTCTTTGGGTCTTTCGGTAAAGTCACGTAGATAGGCTCAAATGAATAAAAATAAAATAAACATTAAACTACGATGTTTGAATCGCAACACAAGCGGTCGTCATCAGGCGGAGGGAAAAGGGGGTAAGTCTCTAAATGCAACTGTTTATAAAGGTTTAAAAGTGTGCGTAGCCCAAGTGTCACAACGGAGTGGGCGGGACACAAGAGTCTCGGTCAGCAGTGGATAGAGCATCCTATAGAGATGGAGTCTAGCCCATGATAGAGCAAAAGCTATAGAGATGGAGCCTAGCCCATGATAGAGCATCCTATAGAGATGGAGTCTAGCCCATGATAGAGAAAAAGCTATAGAGATGGAGTCTAGCCCATGATAGAGCATCCTATAGAGATGGAGTCTAGCCCATGATAGAGCAAAAGCTATAGAGATGAAGTCTAGCCCATGATAGAGCAAAAGCTATAAAGATGGAGTCTAGCCCATGATAGAGCAAAAGCTATAGAGATTAAGTCTAGCCCATGATAGAGCAAAAGCTATAGAGATGGAGTCTAGCCCATGATAGAGCAAAAGCTATAAAGATGGAGTCTAGCCCATGGCCAGCAGTGGAATTTTGTTTATCACTGTGAATGCTCAAATCATGCCATGAGATTCAGGGCCAACTTGTATACAAGGAAATTGTATCTCATTTGACTTTAGTCAAAGTGCAGAGGCTGCAAAAATATGACACATTGAGTTAGCTGTGGCATTGAAAGCCTCCATTCCCATGTGATGATGTACGTATTATTCACATGTGTAGGTCATTACATTTGCGCGCATATACTTTGCTGTTACGGTAAGTTTTAATATTGCCGACCTCATTCAAATGTTTGTGTGCCTTGTGGCACTTTCTTACATTTTGTCGTATTTTTAAATCCTTTATATTAAGTTCACTTGCTTGCTTGCTTACGACCGTGCAAATCTTTCGGTCGTTTTTTAACCCACTTCCCGTGATCCAATCGAGCTGACATTTTGCACACAGACTCGTTGTGCGTGACAATTAATTTTCGTCAAAAAATTTTTCCTAAATTTTACACTGTTTAGGGAATTTTTTAAAATATTTATTTACCAATTGCTTAATGGTGGCAGACAATCATCTGACCCATAGGTGGCAGCCATCTCAAGCCAGAGGACGAGAGGACTCTAACTGCCACGCATATAAAGGATTTATAGTGAAAAACTTTGTTTTCACGGGTTAATTTTTACTGGCTGCAGTTGGGGGAGGAGTGGCGCAGGGTTGAGGTGATGCTGGAGATGTTAAGTGGGGGGGAAATAAATATATGTATCTGTGTTTGCTGGTTCTACGGTGTGGAGGAGCTGCAGCAGAGCAGCGAGAGACATCCAGAACCGTCATTCAATACGTGAAGGCCATTTAAAAATCTGCAGCTTATAATGTCCGCCTCGGATTTCACAGAATGTTTTTTAACCGACGCCCTCCATTGAGTGACGCCCATTTTAACATTCTATGAATGTGATCTGAGCGGTAACACGTTTGTGTGAAAGATAACAACGTACTTTTTCACAACTTTTGCGTAGGTTAGGCTTTTTCAGGGCTGTGCTGGAGAGCTCTCTCCGATGGAACTGAATTGAGGAACTGAACTGAGATATTGAAAAAGCTCCCAGCACGTGGAGCGAAACGTCGGACATCACGCCAATTGACAAGCGGTACGACCCGATAACACATCAATAAAATCTGCTTCTACCCTCCTTTACACGGGGATTTTAAGTTGTAATACGTCTATTGTTTACCACTTCGAAACGGCCCTCACGACAAATTGTTAGATGGGGTCACTGCATTACTTCCCCCTTAACCTGCCCTATTATTGCCTCCCCCACACTCCCCCTGATACAAAAAAAAAGTTTGCATCCCGCCCTGAAGAGAGAGAGGTGGTCATCCAAATACAACTGTGCCCCCGAAGCTTCACGACAGCACTCACAACGAGGGTAATGGGCTGCCCGTGTACTCTGTGTCCAAATTAACGATAGATTTGTTTGTTATTTCAGCATGGCTTCGCAAAGCATTCCCGCCTGTCTGTCCCTTTAGGAAATGTTATCACTCTTCTACTAAACAAGCACACGCCCCGTGTATCCATGCTTCCCCCCCCCCCTATTCCACCATTAAACAATCCCGCTTGATTGCGCTCAACCTGATCTCCCCCCCCCCCCCCCCATTAACTTGCACGTCTTCACGTGATAAATGTCATCCTTGGCGTAACAACGCTCCGAGAGACGAAGAGATGGAATTTGCGGTGCTCAGTTCCCTACACTCTCCCCTCATCGGATGGGGGGGGGGGGGCGAGTGCTGTAGGACCGTCAGTGTCGGAGCATGTCGCAGGAAGGGGGCTGGGGGCAGGGAATAAAAGTGCACTTTCTAAAATCTTGCACAGTGTCGATTTAAAGCTTTCGTGACTGCAGGGATTCATCTTCTTGGTTTTTTCGGTAAAGTCACGTAGAAGGGAAGTAATAAAATAATAAAAATAAAACATAATAATACGTTTTATATTATTATTTTATTACTTCCCTTCTACGTGACTTTACCGAAAAAACCAAGAAGATCTTGTACAGTGGTTTAAAGTATGCATAATATTGAGTTATTGTGCGCCTCCCTTATTTCACAAGGTCAACCTACAGGGTCGTCACTTTTGTTGGCTGCCATTCACATTTTTTCGCGATTATTTTTCGCAGAGGCTGCGTTTCATCCCGCGTCGCGTACTTTTTTTTACTTTAACGTGAAAAAACATTGTTACATCCAGGGAAGAAAAAAAACGACGTGGTGAAATCATGCAAGTAAATTGTACAATTCCATAGTGGCAAATGGACTTGTCATTCATGGCGATCGCTTTGCCTTCAAAGAAACTAATTTAAGATTTGCATGTACAACATTACCGGCATGGTGCCTCTGGAATATTATAGATTGTCTTCCGCTGCATGTACATCTGCTACATTAATACACACTCGTTATCAAATCATTCACGATGAAACCACACGACAGTTTGTGGATTATAGTCGACTCTTAAGCTCTGTATACATGCTTCGAATCACTTGTGTAAGCATCCATGTTTTTTTAATGAATTTCTGTTCATCACCGTTGATTATCATGCAGTTGTGACGAGTACATTCACAGCAATGTTAACCGACAAAAATAGTTTATTCAATTGAATCGTAACCATATATTGTAACAATTAATCAACTCGCCTTGGGTGGTGGGTTTTCCACCGCTAATGATACAAGTAATTTGTGAGCAATGAAGTATCATTCGTCACATGAATAACTCCTGAACGTGGCATTTGGGGAGTGGTGGCGCATGGGTTAGCACGCCGCGTTGTGAAACCAGTGACACGAGTTTGATTCCTGACCACGGCCAACATCAGCTGGAGTGTGATATCTGAGCCTGGCTTGCACGAGCCCCCAACTGAGCAACGTGGTTAAGTATTTCGATTTAAAGCTTTCGTGACTGCAGGGATTCATCTTCTTGGTTCTTTCGGTAAAGTCACATAGAAGGGAAGTAATAGAATAAAAATAAAAGATAATAAAATAATTTTCACGACGTTTCGGCCACAACGGCTGCTTGCGTTGTGGCCGAAACGTCGTGAGAATTATTTTATTATGTTTTATTTTTATTATTTTATTACTTCCCTTCTACGTGACTTTACCGAAAGAACCAAGAAGGTGGTTAAATATGTTCAAACAACCCCCACCAGTCAGCAGAGCATGGGGAGGCCTTCATCCAGTGATAGATTGAACAATGTGACGAGAGAATATTAACATCGTATTTGTGTTCGTTAAATCGTTTGTAAGGACCTTACGCAAATATAAGCAATTCAGAGTAAGCAGTTAGCAAGCGGACGACTCGTAGCGCTTCATTGAGTTACGGATAAAGAGTGAAGTGGGGCCCAGTGTACCAAGCCACACGGACAGAGCCAATCAATGTGTATGATCGAACACTTAGTCCATTATTTTGTTAACCTTATAAACCCGGACATGCTTATTGACGTTGGGCACGTCTGGCTCCAGCCGACGGCACGCTCGCAGAGGCTGAACAGCAACGCTACTGCCTGGCCCACGAACAGTATATTTAATGGCAATTATTACGCTGTCTGCACATTTTTGAGAAACTCATGTAATATAAAACAAAATGCATGCAGGCTGGAAACAAATTTGAGTCGGCATCATCAGCCACAATTGATCCACTGCTGATTGTTGTCATCTCTTACAAATCCTGCAATTTAATAATCCACCCAGCATCTGCAAACGCATTCCCTCTCTCGGCTGCCACGCTATCGTTATACGTGCAAAAGGTGATTTGCAAAAGGTGATTTCACGACACATTCTCAACCAACGGTCGCACACTTGCGGCCGTTGGATCGATCCTCCCATCATGCCTTGCATGTCATGTGGTATCACCATACTGTGTGTGTATGATGCAAACAGCACAGTTTCAGAAGAACAACTTTAAAGGGATCAAGCAGGGAATGTATTATTCAACATTGATATACGTTTGTGCAATATTGTCAATGACACACTTATTTTGCTCTAATTTTTCTTTGCTTCGTTGATGTACTTCTTGTAATTTATGTGATCCAGATCACTCACAAGTCAGACCATCCTGATCTCTTGAGTTTTCACCTGGTTAAACAAAATAAACCTATCTTTACTAATTGGCCATGAACATCTTAATATAGAGAAAACTGCAGAGCTTGGCCAATTGTTGACACCGGATTGCCGCCTGGATGCCTTCCAGCTTGTATGTGATTCATCGGCAATTGTAAGGGCCAATTTGTATGAACGACGACGCAATGTAAAACTATTCACGTTTAGCTTGAAAATTCTGGCCATAGTATCCTAGGTGGTAGCAGCAATGGCCGAACAATGGTGCAATCGTATTCCATTTTCGTAATTTTTAGGACTCATCAGTAGAGTATAGCCGTCATTGCCTACTGCTCTCTCGCGCCTCTGTGCACCAGCCATCCTGCACAAGGCTTGATAACCTCATCAGTATAGGGTAAGCCACCTCCCAGCCACGGCCGTGAAATTTTAATCGTTTGCCAGTGAAACATTTACGACAATCAGCTGCATCACCGTGCCCCCAAAAGCCCCGTGTGTGTGTGTTAGTTGATGTTTTGAGTTAATTATTTAGGCACAGCTGCAAGTGTTTTAGAATATGTGCCTGGACGTGTAATTTATTTACAGAAATTGAATTCCTAAACACGTTTATGAAGGAACCAAAAAAAGAAAGGCTCATTTAAATGTGAGCAACACTATGTTTCATTGGCATTAGTTTGATACTCTTTGATTATAATTTACTTTAATAATTATTGATCATGTGGTTGGGGGGTGGGAGGGGGTGCAGTGGTTATCAAACTACTATGTGATCCCAGCGACCTGAGTTCGATTCCCACCCACAGCTGAGTGGCATCCGGCCCCCAACCGGCGCTCGCAGGCACAGTGAAGCGTCGTCACACAACCCCTCATGACCAACATGGCATGGGAAGGTCTTTATCCAGCAATGGATTGACAAGCGGCTGATATCATTATTTTGATATTATTATTGTTGTTTTTTACTCCTACACGAAGGATAACATGAGCATGGGGGTGTACATGTTTTTTAATTAACTGCAGCATGTCGCTAACGTGTCACATTCAGAGCGTCTGCTGACGCGGAACATTGTCCACTGGGATTGTTATCCTCCGTTTCACATTAGCAGTCTTCAGTGGACACTGGAATGTGGTTCGCCCCGCTCATCCCAAGTACACAGAGGGTAGATAATTCTCATGCTTTAAGTCTCGAGTGGCATCGGAATGATTTGCAATATGCCTCGTGTGTTGAAAAGGTGCGATGGTAATTGTGGTTCTGCGGAAGCTGCGCCTTGCAATTGGATTCTGGTAAATATCAGGGTTTTTCAGTATGCAGCTTGTATCGTCATGAAGCTGGTAAGGGATGCATCGTACAGTATAGCGGTTTACTTCTTGCCACGGCATTTTATTAAGCGGATATTTCTATACAACATCGCCTGTCCAGTAAGAACAGAGAGTTTATTTTTCCGTTCTGATGGAAGGTGCGGTTTTGTGATTAATACAGGGATTTTTTATATACATGCTGTCATAATAAAGAAAATACGGTTTTCAGAAATGTTAGACGTCGAAAAGGATTGAATAGATATATTATTTTATGCGCAGGGTAAAAATTGGCTCTTGAAACTTCCTGAAGTGAATATGAGGTCAAACCAAATATGTATTAAATTCTGCAAAGTGCAAAATTGGGCTGTGAGGTTACTGTCATTCCCCTGTAATCGTTCTTGGCGAGTGTGCCTTCTGATACCAATTACTGTAATGAAACCATGTGCCTGCTATTATCATGCGGCAGATTAATGGTACCTACGGTACACAAGCTGCATTTATTATTTTTAAAATATATTTATTCCATGCTACCCATTTATTCCTTCAGTGTATGGTGGTCTAATTTCAACAATGTCTTGTGTCTGATGGAGTACTGTGTATATTTATTGGCAGTTTCAGATCATAGAGACCGCTTAGTACATGAGGCACAAAGTTCACATCTAAATGCGCTGCTTCCTCTCCTTGTGGAGGTCTTAGACCGACCGGTTTCTTGTAAATTAAATTACAAAGCACGGACTCAATTTCTGGTCGTAGAGAAATAATCGGCG